CTAGCAATGTTAAAGCTCTCAGATATTCTCAGAAAAAAATCTCATCTAACTCCAGCTACAATTTAAAGCATCAATTGGCTTTTGTCAATGTATTAAATTATATCATACATTGTTTCTTGAAGGAAATGTATTTTAAAGGTTAAATAGTTAATGTTCAAGCAAACTTTCAGAGTGTATCACTTTTTTTTTTTTTTTTAAGATTTTATTTACTTATTTGAGAGACACACACAGAGAGAGAAAGAGGATGGGGGGCAGCGGGGCAGAGGGAGAGGGAGAAGCAGACTCCCCGCTGAGCAGGGAGCCTGATGTGGGGCTCAATCTCAGGACCCTGAGATCATGACCCGAGCAGAAGGCAGACGCTTAACTGACTGAGCCACCCAGGCGCCCCTAGAATGTATCACTTAATTTTATTTATTTATTTATTTTTAAAAGATTTTATTTATTTATTTGACAGAGAGAGACACAGTGAGAGAGGGAACACAAGCAGGGGGAGTGAGAGAGGGAGCAGCAGGCTTCCCATGGAGCAGGGAGCCCGATGCGGGGCTCGATCCCAGTACCCTGGGGATCATGACCTGAGCCGAAGGCAGACGCTTAACGAATGAACCACCCAGGCCCCCTAGAATGTATAACTTTAAAAGCTCAGATCTTATTTAGTGATTATACAAATGAAAATGTTACCTGAAATTGGCGACTTTCTACAACATTGTGTTTCCTTACAACCTAATCTGATTTTTGCCTTTTCCCAGTTTAAGGCCAGTCCTCCTGCTGTGACTTTCAAACTAACTGGAGAGACAGATGGCATATTTCAGATACAACCAGATGGACTTCTATATCATAACAGAGCCTTGGATAGAGAAACAAGAGCTGTTCACAAACTCCAGGTGACTTGAGAAGAGTCAAAGGAACCTAACTCCAACCTCTCTGAGCATCCTTTAGCTTTGTCCTAGAAGTATCACTCGCACATTCATCTCTTCCGTAGAATCCTGTTACAGCTCTCTTGACATTAATGGCATGCTTTGCAAATCTCATTTGTCCATTTTTTACCAACTACAAAGAGATACCCCTTTGGGTATGGCAAAGATACCCTCTTCCTCAGGCCTTTTAACCAGAGTAACTCAATTTGAATTGCCAAAGCCCTCAGATGGCATTACTTGTTCAAGTCTGGCCATGCTCAAACACCTGGATCAAAACAAGCCAGTGCTTCTCTGATATTTCAGTGGTATCTGCCTGTGGCTATTGTGTGGGCTTTGGACCCACAGAGAAGGCCGCATCAGTGTGGCGATGGAACTCCTGTGGGCCTTGCAAGAAGCAGAAGTAACCAATGTTCAGAGGCTCTGACTAAAGAGACCCTTCTCCCTCTTTGTCCTCCTTAGTTTTTTATGGTTGGCATCTGAATACATAGGAATGGTAGAGAGCTAATTGTAGAAAAGAGGGCAAGCAAAACTTCCCATCTAGTAACTTCTATTGGCTTTGCAAGTTGACTACTAAAATGCTCTGTCAGAGCACACGGCACCTCCATAGCCTTAAGGGTCAAAATGTTCTTATTTCACTGACTTATATTTAGAAAAGAAGCATGTCCAGTGTCCAGCATACCTTACTGCTGAGAGAACACAGACATGATTAGCAGAGTTTAACTGATTGGGTCCCTATTTTAGTAGCTCACAGTATGGGGCTTTTATGGGTGTCTTTCTCCCCTACAGTCACCAGGTTATTGGGTCTTTGAGCTCTAATTTCCTTCAACTGACTTTTGGGTGTGTGATATGAAGATCAGACTCATCAAGGTGGTTTCCTTTTCCTTTCTTCATCAGGTCTCAGCCCTGGATGCTCAAGGAGCTATAGTGGAGGGCCCAGTTCCCATCACCATAGAAGTGAAGGACATCAATGACAATCGACCCACATTTCTCCAGAAAGAGTATGAAGGCTCAGTAAGACAGAATTCTCGTCCAGGTAAAAGGCAGGAGTCCGGAGATATTTATGGAAAGGTGAAGAATATCAGGCAGAAGGGGCAGATTTGGGTGGCTAACAGCTGCAGCATCACTCATTCAGCACTTCCTTTCATACTTTAATTTCACAGCAGTCCTCTAGGAGTTATTTTATTATCCTCATGGCTCTAAGACATGGCGTCTCAGCTTTGGCACTATTGACATCTTGGGACCGATCATTCTCTTTTTGTCAGGGGCTCTTCCGTGCATTGTGGGGTGTTTAGCAGGATCCCTGACATCTATCTACTCACCAGACGCCAGTAGCAACCCCTCCTCCCAAGCTGTGACAACAAAGATGCCTTCAGACATTGCCAAATGTCACGTGGGGGGCGAAATCACCCTGGTTGAGAACTATGATTCTAGAACGAGCTTTAGAACACCGTAGAGCTCTAGGACACTCAAGAATACTCTGCAGAGGTGAACTCATTCTCCTAAATTCTCTCAGAAATCTTCATGCTCATGGTCACTGTTGGCTCCCAGTTCCTTTTCTTCTCTTACTTGCAACTCCTACTTACAGCTCATCCCTTCACTTTGCTTCTACCCTTCATTTCCATAAAAGCCCCTCATCAAGGCATAGGTGTGTGGCTCTATTGAAGATCTGGGGATATGAGGGAGCATTATGTCATAATATGAATATGAAGAAAATAAATGTGAATATTAGACTTCTGAGTTCTCAGAAAAACTCTTGGCCATTTCTGCCAACTCACTGTCAAATTTCCCTCTATGTTACTTAATCTTCTTTATCTCTCTCTCCAATGCCCACTTCCAATAACTCGGGGAGAATATTCCTTCCACTTTATTACATGGAACATCTCTATCCCTGAGCTTACAACGAAAGACTCACTTATGAATTCTGCTAAATAAGAATCTTCCAAGTCTTACTCTTTCTCTCTTTACTAATAGGCTCTTCTAGATCAGTGGTTCCCAAACTTTTTGGTCTCCTGTGTTTTTTTAAAAATTATTAGTAACTCCAAAGAACTTTTTTTTTAAATATATGGGTTCTATCCAGTGATGTGTGGGTAAATGTTTAATAGCAGTCTCTCTGAGGGGAAAAGCCCTGATGTGTAGGATTTTCCAATTTCTGTGGTATAAATACTGCCACGATGGCTTATTTTAAGCTACCAATGGTGTTAATAATTGGCTCACAAAGTTTCTGGAAATTCAACCATTGGCTCTCATGAGCTGGCTCCAGTACTTCACTGATTATATCTACCAATATTTACTTTATTAGAATTTTAAAAATTTAATTCATGGTAAGTAATAATCAACATATTTTAGTGAAAAATAACTATTTTCAAAGACAAAAGGAATTATTAAGAGTGGCTTTGTTTTAATCTTTGCACATCTCTTAGTGACTGGAGTAATTCACTGAAAACAATTGGATTCTTGTCTTTTTCTGCATCCATTCTGTTGCCATATGCTGTTTTGGTTGAAGCATATGAAGCAAAACTGGCCTCACACAGATACGCAGTTGGAAAAGGGAGGAGTATTGTAATAGCATTTTCCGATAACTGTGGATATTCTTTGATACTATACCAGAACTCAACAAGTGGTGGTTTCTTAAAGGCTGATGGCAATGTGAAATCTAAAACTATATCAATGTCTTTTTTTTGATACTCCTTTGTGCTAAAATCCATTGAATTATCTTGTGCTTCAGTGGATCTTTTACACATGCATGAGTTTTTTACTCCATCAAACCTAAAAATAATCTCAAAGACCCCTACAAATCCTTGGACCATACTTTGAGAAACCCCATGTTAGTGGAAGGAAGTAGAATAAAGATTCATTTCCCCATTAGTATAAATTCCCCCATTCCCCTAAGAATTTTATCTTAGAAGAAAGAAGTGGCTATGGTTGGTTTGGATTTCAATTAACATCTTTTTTTTCCCCTCTGGGGATACTTTGTTAAACAGGAAAACCCTTCATGTATGTCAATGCTACAGACCTGGATGATCCCACCACTCCCAATGGTCAGCTTATTTATGAAATTGTCATTCAGCTTCCCAAGATCAACAACATCATGTACTTTCAGATCAACAACAAAACGGGGGCGATTTCACTTACCCTAGAAGGTAAGTCAAGTGATGCGCTCGTGAGACTGTCTGAGTCAGAAAAAGGGACCTAGATCTGTGTTACCTTTGGAGATGTTTCTTTTTCTCTCCTACTTCCCATAGGATCTCGGGCACTGGATCCCAGTAAGAATCCTAACTACAATCTGGTGGTCTCAGTAAAGGACATGGGAGGCCAGAATGAGAATTCTTTCAGTGACAGCACATCTGTGGATATTATGGTGAAGGAGAATATTTGGAAAGCACCAAAACCTGTGGAGATCGTAGAAAACTCAACTGATCCTCACCCCATCAAAATCACTCAGGTAGTGCCCAAGGAGTGTCTTGAGACTAGTAGATAAATGGCCTCGCTTTGTGGAGGCCCACTCTCATGATCTTCACTGATATATTTATTTGGTACATTTGTTCATAGCATAATTATAAAACAAACTAAGTAGATAAAGTCTCTGGCCCCAAGTCTCTGGAGTTTATTAGTTTATTATCATGGGTAAACGCTGGACTTTACCAGCTTGGATTCAGATACACACACACACACACACACAAGCTTTAAAAGAGAACTTCGCTCACCCTCAGCTTCCAAGTAGATACCACTAATGTCTGTTTACTGTCAGTAGTATGGGATTTGGCTGCACTGGAGTGGGTTGTATATGGTGCACAAATCATGTGTATATACATGATTTGAATAGGAACTGTAAATATTTTTGAAAGGCTTCTTCTTATTCTTGTGAGAAAGTCTTTATCCAGTAGACTCATCCCATCATAGCCTGAGGGACAGACATTGGACTGGCTAAGAGTAGGAGTCAAGTAGGCAACCTGTACCCTTGGAGACCACCCTCCTGCAACTCCATCTCCTATATGTGCCTCTCCTCTTCATTCACATGTCCCCCTCTTCCCCTCCCCATGGCTGGAGCTCTTACCCTGGGTCCCCTCCTACCTTAGATCCTGGAAATCTGCTCTTGTCTCCACCCAGATCTTTTCTTTTCTGGAATATCAGGAGCTCCTTGACATGAAAGCTGTGGATTAATGAAAGAGCACTGGATTTAGAAGCAGATAACCAAAACCTTGTGCCTGCTCCATTATTTTAATGATCGATCATGAATAAGCTGTTTAACTCTTCTGAGCCCCAACTTCTCATCAATAAAATGGGGATAACAACACCTCTCTGGTTGTTGTGGAGATTAACTCAGAGGTAGTATCTGTGAAAGGGGATAAAAGGTATTAATGTTATGAGTCTCAGTTTGTAGTTCCCCTAAGGTTTTTCTGCACAGGTGTTGTTAAGGGGCACTGGAATGGCCCATCCCATCATATCTATTGTCTATCTTAAAAGGATATTTAATTGTTGAAATGTTGAATTAATGAACCTCACCTTCAGGGTGAAAAAAGGAATGAAAGCAAGAGGTAGTTTGCTTTACCAGCTAAGAAAATGTGTCAGGACTCACAGCCATGAGAATTTCAGACTTAGGTCTTTACTAAAGTCTTATTTATTATTTAGGTTATCTCCATAAGGACTTACAAATGCCAAAAAGAACAAACATACTTATTTGCTCTCAAGGTTGTTGAAGTAGAGAAATTCTAGAGTGCTACACATGATACCCAGGCCTGGGGGAAAGTGCTTTGGGTGTCTTGAAACCCAAGAAGAAGAATCGAGGGGGACAGCTCAAGAGAAAACAAGTCAGACTGAATTTTTAGGACACAGGAGTGCTCCCTGAGAACCAAGAACACCGTCTTTGGCTTGGACAAGAGGGTGGTGCTTAAATAACTAACCAGGGATGAGGGAGGCTCCTTGATACCCTTCCCGAGCTGGTCTAAGAGAATAGTTCAGTCTGGAAATTTCAGATAGCCATAGGAGCTTGGGCAAGTCACTTAAACATTGTGCCCTAGTTTCCTCATTCATAAAATGGGTATAACAATTGTCTCCACCGCTCTACCTCATTGGGCTCTTTGAGAATTTAATGAGATAATACTTAAAAGTGTTTAGAATTGCATCTGGCATATGGCAAACCCCCAGTAGATGTTATTATTAGTATTAGAATATCAGAGAGGCTGGGCTCTGTCTCTAGCAAGTGGACTGATCTTACTACTGAGTTTTTTTTATTTTTTGCCAAGTTGTTTACAAACAATACTAGGAGTTGGCAATTATTCTTATCTCTTTAAGACTAAATATTCAGGGGAGGAACGTGTTTTACTTTTGAACTATCTGTCTTACTTAAATCATGGCATGGAGATGAGGTTAGAGTGTCTCCTATTGCTCTTATCATCTTCACTGGGGAGTTATAGAAACTTGTCATACCTCTTGGCTTTGTTCTCAGATAGTACCAGCTGTAAAGTACATTTTGTTCCTTAAATTGATGTTGCACGGATAGTAGGAAGACTCCATGGTCAGACTTCCAAAAGAACAACCCACAGCCTCTTTAGAGGGTTCACAAAAGTTGTTTTAGAGAAGAAAAATACCCCTGTGTGCTTTTTTTGAGCGCTATAACTTGGTTAAAAAAAAGAAGGAAAAAAGACTTATTTTTGGTTGAATATGAAGTAGTTATAGAAAACCACAGACATACAAACGAGATTGTCAGAAATTTCAGATTGAGAACGAGAAAAGTGTTTATTCCTTTCCAGTTCTCTTGGTCTTGATATATCTCTCCTGACAACTCACTGTGGCCCTTACAGGTGCAGTGGAATGAGCCAGGTGCACAATACTTCTTAGTTGACAAGGAGAAGCTGCCAAGATTCCCATTTTCAATTGACCAGGAAGGAGGTATTTATGTGACTCAGCCCTTGGACCGAGAAGAAAAGGATTCGGTGAGTAAATCTGGGAAGAGTTTCAAGGGCAACAAAGACAGAGTCCTGTGCCTATGGACAACTCAGGGCAGAATTGATTTTACTTAAAAACAACAACAAAAACCCCAAACTGGTCCTGAACCCCAGTACATGTTTGCTTTCAAAGACAAGAGAGCACCCCACAGATCTGACCCATTTCATTTTTTCTTGTTTCCCAGTTCAAAGTAAATTGAAAATAAAGGGGTAAATTAAATAGCTGTTTTCTTTGCCTTTTAATGGGATGATGGAGGAGTCCTGTCTTAACACTGATCTTCCTGTTGTAGTATGTTTTTTATGCTGTGGCAAAGGATGAGGTTGGACAAGTGCTTTCATTCCCACTGGAAATTCATGTGAAAGTTAAAGACATTAATGATAACCCACCTACATGTCCATCTGCAGTGACCGTATTTGAGGTCCAGGAGAATGAAAATATAGGTAAGAAATGGGAGCTGTTCAAAGCCATGTGATTGTCCTCCATATGTTACGTCCGCAATCCCTTTCTCCTCTCCACCAGGTAAAAGATGGGCAGGTAAGTGTGATTGGGGATCATCTGTGCATGTCTGGCACAGGAGAGAGATTTGAACGCACTTTGGGAATCACACAGATACAGTATTTCGGCTCAAATAATATCTGGGTAGTGTTCTTAAATTGGAGCTTTTTTTTTTTTTTTAATTCTTATGTTAATCCCCATACATTACATCATTAGTTTTAGATGAAGTGTTCCATGATTCATTGTTTGTGCATAACACCCAGTGCTCCATGCAGAATGTGCCCTCCTCAATACCCACCACCAGGCTAACCCATCCTCCCACCCCCCTCCCCTCTAGAACCCTCAGTTTGTTTTTCAGAGTCCATCGTCTCTCATGGTTCGTCTACCCCTCCGATTTCCCCCGCTTCATTCTTCCTCTCCTGCTATCTTCTTCTTCTTCTTTTTTTTCTTAACATATATTGCATTATTTTTTTCAGAGGTACAGATCTGAGATTCAACAGTCTTGCACAATTAAATTGGAGCTTTTATAACTACTACCACCACTGCTACCACGATTACTCCCACTACTATTACTGTTACTACTACTACTACTATTACTTCTACACCCTTTCCACTACCCCTGGCACTGTAACCACTTATGCCCATATCCTGAATACATATATAAGGTTATCTCATTTGCAAGGTTTTCCCATAGATTCTTATTTGCCTTCTAACAACCTCAGTAACAGATAAAATCTCATGAAATTTGCTAAATAATTTAGATGAATAATTACATCCAATGTCAGATACCTTGCAGTAAGTAAGCACCAAAAATGGAAGTTGACTTTTGACCCTTGATCCTCCCTCTCTAGGCGTCAAATAATAGTTCAGGAAGCTGGTAGATGAAGTTCGAGTCCTACCTCTTTTTGTCCTTGCAAGTCTTCTTGACCTGCTGTGTTGCCTTTTACTGTGTCGAATGGTGGCTTTAGTTTTGTACAGGGGACCTCTACTACGAGGACATTAGGATTTCTGGGAGTTTTGTGACTTCCCTGGATTTGGGACAACTCTTGTCTATTACCCTGTGCTGATGAGCCCGTTGATTGAACAGGCTGGTATTTCTTGACATGTGTTTGTCTGTTGTTTTGTGCAAGTTCCAGAGGCTTACAAGGTTAGCAGTCTCTTATGACTGCCACTCTTCGGGCTCTGTTGTCCTTGTGAGCAGATCCTCTCTCCCATGCCTTGTGGAGACTCTCATCATTTTCTTTGATCGCTCTACTCTTCTTGCTACACATTTTTGACACAGTGGGTGCTGTTCTGGCAGCATGATGGGCCCTGCTCCTGTGGCTTGTTTGCTCAATGTGCATGTTTTATTTGTTTTGTTTTGTTTTTGTTTTTTTTTCTTGCTGTCAGGAGTCCTATATAGGTGGCCTGTGGTCAGTGTGTTTTGTTTAGGGCCTGTCTTTTTCATTTATTCTAATGTTTCTGCAGCAGGAAGGGGTACATGACAGCGTGAAGGATTTTAATTAATTACAAGGAAGAATCTTCTAACAGTGATGTTGTGTAACAATGGAATGAGTGACAATAGCCAAGAAATACTTGTGGCATCACCCTTTTTGAAAACCTCCCAGATTTCTGGTCTGTGATACTGAATGAAGGCAGAAGACCTTTGAAGAACTTTCCAGATGATCCCTCAAGTCTCTTTTATAGGGCCTAACATTTTGGTGTATTCATTATCTATTGCTGCATAACAAACAGTCCCCAGACTTTGCAGCTTCAAACAAACATTTATTATATCACGGTTTCTGTGAGTCAGGAATCAGAGTGCAGCTCTGATGCATACCTTTGATTCAGAGGGAAAGTTTGGTGGGGGGGGGGGGGGCGGGCAGGAAGACCTTGAAAAATGGTGAGCAAGATGAAAGGCAGTATTTTTTATAATGTAATCTCTGAAGTGGCATCCGTCACTTTCACCATATTCCATTGATTAGAAGTGAGTCACTAGGCTCAGCCCACACTCAGAAGGAGGGGGTTACACCTCCAATATGGGGGATCACTGGGAACCATTTTAGAAGCTGCCTACCTTTGTGAAGAGGATAGTACTAGTTTTCTGAGACTGGTGAGGAAGTCATTGTTGGTAGAATAAATTGTTCAGGGGCCCAGGGAGCTATTTGCCTCTGTAAAGGTGAGAATTTATTTTGCGACAATGTCTCACAAAGTGTCGAATAGTAGACTTAATGGACCAGGAATTCTTATAAATCAACAGAGATTGAGTCTGTTCTTTATATTTAGCCTAAAAGAGGTACAAAACCATGTCCCTGCCCTTTGGGGGCCTTACTGTCTAGCTCAATAAAATACTAAATTATTCCTTAGTGTGTTGATAGTCTCCTCTTTGGTGTCTTTGATTAGCTAGAATCTTGTGGGACTCACGTCCCCAAGTTTTAGCAGTGCCAATATTAATTCTGAAATCCCACTTGTTACCAAATCCTATGTGTTCATACAGGAAGTTTAGCTTTTCGTAAAAGCCCCACCTCCTTAAAGTATTTCTGAGTACCCCAAGAGCTGCTGTAAATACCTCTGAATCAGTTTGGGCTGCACTCGTTCCTGGCCTTTGTTCTTCAGAGACCTGGCCCTCCTTTTCCTTCTGGCGCGTCCAAAAAGTTCTCTGCTCCCACCAAAGAGGCATCCTCTGCTGGAATTTCCCTGGTCACTGATGTCAACAGTCCTTATGGTGCCTCTGACAGCTGGAATTTTCCTGTGAGGTGGGAGAAGAACAGTGTCCTCTGTGTTACACTTAACTTGCTGAGAGGAGAGGTCCAAAGCAGGGCTTCTCCGACCCCAGAGGATCACAGGATTCAGTAAGATACTCTTTCATCCCAACACACAGACACTTAAGGGCAGATGCATGCCACAAAGGTGACTTGGTTGTAGTGGATTCAGCAAAAGCAGCTGCTACTCTCTTGGGTAAATATTCGCCTGTGCCCTGTTGGTCATGATGCCCCCTCCCAGCCCACGGGACACGTCTACATGTGTCTAGCTCCATGACAGACATAACATAAAAACTTCCCTACCTCCCCCCTCAAAAAAAAAAAAAAAGAAAGAAAAGAAAAGAAAAGACAACACCTCCAAATTTCCATGTAAGTCAGCGAATGCAAATTGATTGGGGAAGGGGTGAAACCTAACTCCACAACTGGGATGTATTCAAGTTTTAGCCCCATGGTGGGATTCTTGCTGCCTATTGGAAACCCACGATTCTCATTTCACAGAGCAAGATGATCCAGAACCTATTACAACTCACCCAGAACTGGAGGGAGCAGTGAGTCATAGCCTCTGCCTGCTGGAACTCCCCAGACCGAAACACTCACAGGAATAAAATACATAGGGCCATAACCCGCAGCAAGGCGGGGGATGTGTGCCTGTTCTTTGCCCTGTGTTATCTGCGGGGTGGGGTCAGTCTCTGCAGTTGTTGCATGAAGTTGCTTAGAAGCAAGCCACAGTTGGCTTTTCCTTGTCGAGTTACACCATTTGTCTTGTCTATCAGTGTCCAAGGGTGGCTGTAACACATTACCACAAACTTGGCTTCAAACAACAGAAATGTATTCTCTCACAGTTCCGGAGGCCAGAAGTCTAAAATCAAGATGCCAGCTAGGAGAGAATTCTTCCCAGCCTCTTCTAGCTTCTGGTGGCTCCTGGCATTCCTCGCTGCTTATGGCGTAACTCCAGTCTCTGCCTCCTCCTTCACATGGCCACCCCCTCTGTGTGTGTCTTGTGTCATCTGATCTTCTAATAAGAACACCAATCACTAGATTTTGGCCTACCCTAAGTCCAGGATGATTTCATCTCAAGATCCTTAACTAATTACATCTGCAGAGGCTTTATTTCCAAATAAGGTCATATTTGAGGTTCCAGGTGGACATGAATTTTTGTAGGATGCTATTTGTTATTGGCTGAATTCTGTCCCCCCTAAAATGCATATGGTGAAATCCTAACCCTCAGTACCTCAAAGGGGGACTATTATTTAGAGCTAGGGTCTGTGAAAAGGTAGTTAAGGTAAAATACTGTCATTAGTGCGGGTCTTAATCCAATATGACTAATGTCCTTCTAAGAAGAGAAAATTTGGACTCAAACACGTCTGGAGGAATGACCAGGTGAAGACACATGAAGACAGTCATCTAGATGCCAAGGAGAGAAGTCTCAGAAGAAACCAACCCTGCCAACCCCTTAATCTTAGACCTTTAGCCTTCAAAAACTGTGAGAAAATAAATTTCTGTTGTTAAATCTGCCCAATCTGTGGTGCTTTGTTATGCTGGCCCTATCAGACTAATAATATACTGCTCAACACACTACATTATGGAAAGAGTTAGAAGAACCAAATAAATGTAAGAACTGTAGTCTGCTACTCAAAGTGATTTACAGTACTTTCTAGGGATGTGCTTATCCAGTGAAACCATTTTGAATACAGTAGATTAAATAGAATCTGTAATGGATGGATTCCTTTTATTCTTTCTCCACAGGGAGCAATATAGGGACTTTCACTGCCCACGACGATGATGAAGAAAACACTGCCAACAGTGTTTTAATATACAGAATTGTGGATCAAATCCCCACGTTTCCCAAGGAAGGACTTTTCCTGGTCCAAACCTACTCAGGAGTGTTCCAGTTAGCTGAGCGGTCCTTGAAGAAGCAAGACACTCCTCAGTATAACCTGACTGTGGAGGTGGCTGACAAAGGTTGGTATCACGTTCACTGTCAAAAGGAAAATCCCTGTTTTCCTTCTAGTTGTGCTTTGTTAGGCTGCTCTGATGCCTGGGTGTATTACAGGATGCCATCCGAGAGCTCTTGCTTCCTGCGTAAGACACACATGGAGCACAGAGGCAGTTGGTCCAATGCGGTAGAGGCCAGAGTTACAGCTCAGGCAACATTATTGTATTAGTTCCGGTCCTCTGAGAAGCAGATGCCAAAAGGGGATTAAATGTATAAGGATTTTATTAGGGGAAAGGCCCATGAGAAAAAAATGGGGGGGGGGATGTCCGGAGAAGGTTGGGGGAGCCATCAGACCACAGTACAAGCCTAACCCTGAGTGAAGGAAGGCTGGTGGGAGTACCATAGACCGCAGAGAGTCAAAAAAAAGTTGGCCAAGGCCCCTGGGAAGTCCAAAATTGTCCACCGAATGAGTCTGTGATCTCCTAGAACATGGCTGTCTTGGCCTGCCTGCCTTGCCTAGTCACTGGCTAGGGGCAGCCCATGGGAAGCAAGTCCTCCATGCAAACGTGCTGCTGGATGTCAGAGCACAGCAGGGAGCCATCATCAATTAAGTTCCCTGTTGTTGGAGGTCGGCAAGGCCTATTCTCATGGCCACTGAGATCATGACCCAGAACATTAATCGTATTTTCCAATTCTCCCTTTTGGACTCCAAGGACTCTTACTGTATGAAAGAGTCTAAGGACTCTATTGTATGAAAGTGGAGGAGAAATGCATCTTTGGGGAAGGTCTGTCTTCTATCACCCCTCACTTGGCCATGAGACGTCAGGAGACATTGTTCCTGACTCCTATATAATTTCAAAGCAAGTCGTTCTTAATCTTTGTTGGCTCACAAGACCCTTTGAAGATCTGATGAAAACTGTGCGTTCTCTAACAAATGCATGCATTTTTGGACGATTGTGCACAGACACACAAAAACACATGTATTCAGAGCCAGATTGATTTTGGGGGCACACACACACTCCTAGGTTAACAATCTTTCTCTGAGTTAATGAGCACCCAATCTCAGATGACCAAATAGTTCAGTAATCATTGTGCTAGGAGTCACAGATTATATAGGTATGGAGAAGAAAAGAGCATCATTTCACACCACTCCTCACATTTCCCCCTTTGTACAGATGTTGACATACCGAAGAGAATTAGGGTTTAACAGGCCCCCAATACAGGCTTTTTGGAAGTTAGTAATTTGGCAAATAGTGAGGGCCTACTATATATGTCCAGAATTATGTTAAGAGGTACAACAGAAGTGAGTATAATAAATCATCCCTGCCTATGGTGAATTAACAATTTCACACCATTAACCATCCATTCTTTCAGCAAACAGTTACTGAGCACTTACCTTGCATGAGACACCATTCAAGGTATTGAAGATACACAGGTGAATAAGACCCAGGGTCTGTCCTCAAGGAGCATTCATGATAAAGGAGATGGACATGTGAATGAATAAATTACAAGAAACATGTACAAGGTAACCCATGAAGGATATGACTTAGTGGAGGGAGAGAGCAGGTCAGGCTTTCTGGAAGAGGTGTCATTGAGCTGAGTTTTGAAGGATGAATATGACAAGTTACGAAATAGTGCAGAGCTTATGGAGGAGAAGAAATTCCATCTACAAATGCAGGGAGACCTGAAGTAATATGAGGCTATAAGAGCATAAGGTGGAAATCAGATTACAAATTGTCTATGTTCGTGAGTACATCTATAGAGAACAGGGACCAGATAACAAAATAGATTTATACATAAACATATATGCATGCAGATGGAATTAAACATTAAATTGTGCACTAATATAGCCTAGAGACTAGGCTTAATTAACATAGTTTTACATAAAATTGGAGAGGGCTCGCTACCCAGGAGGCCACACTACTGGCCCAAGTGAGGTTTGTGCAGAGCTGGGAGCCAGCGAGTTCAGGTCCTGGCAAACCACCCCCCCTCTACCCCCGACCCATTGTTAACCATTCTTGTTGTCCTCAAATGTTCTGGAGACTGACCCCAGCTTTTATCAGCATCCATTATTATAATTCAATTGTTATTAGATCACAAGCCTGGCCTCATGTCCAGTGCATTGGACACCATCTCTGGAGTTAGACTGCCTGAGTGTATCTGTCGGGATCCTAGCAGGAAACAAGGAATAACCAAGAAGAGTTTAAAGAAGAGATTATTTGAAAAGGTTGTGGGCAGGGTTAAGGGAAACCAACTGGAGGCACGAAGTGCAATGGACAGCCTCCCTCCACGGAGGTGTGAAGGGGCGATTGAAGGGAACATTCCACGAAGGAACAAGCCCTCTACTTTTGCCTACAGAAGAGGCTGCTGGGGGGAACTATCCCCCGACCTCTCTCCTCCTGCCCCTCCTCCCATCCCCTGGCAGCAGCCAGGGTGCCCGGATGCAGTCTCTGAGGTCAGCTTCCCAGGACACGGAGCGGGGTGGAAGGGTGGAGAGCAGACAGAGAAGGCAAAGGGAGCACAAGGATTTGAATTCTGGCTTGACCACTAGTTAGTTGTGTGACCTCAGTCTGGTTACCTAACTTCTCTATCCTGTGACTTCCTCATTCATGAACTAAATGAGGACGATCATAGTATCTACGTCATGAAACTTGTATGACAATGAAATGAGTAATGCTGGTAAAGCACTTCATGCAGGGCCTGGTACACAGAGAGTGCTGACAGTTTGTATTATGACAAGAACCCCAGTTCTGTTATTATCTACATTTCATAGATTAACTAACTGAGACGCAGAGACCTGGAGGGACACACATCTGATAAGCTCTCCCACATCTGATAAGGGACAGAGTCAGAATTCAACAGTGGGACTCCCGAGCCCTGAGTCTTAGCTATTATACAACACAGTACATCATGGTTTAGAGCCATGGTGACCCCAACAGAGAACCTGTCATGTTGTTTCTCATTCTGGATATATCCCTGGCACCCCATCCCCACCTGTATTCCACGCTCATCTCGGACCTTGCTTGAACCTGCTCTCTCGGACTAGATCTTTGAATTGTCAAACCCACCCCTCAAAGCCTGTGTCATTTTCCCAGGGTTCCATGAGCTACTTCTGAACCCCTCTTGCCTCCCACAGTCTGGGTAGCCAGGCCTCTTGAAGGGGGCTAACTGTACTGCTTCTTCCCTCATTTGGAGGAATAGGCACCCAACCTTCCCACCATGGAGGACAGAGGAGATGCAAGATGGTTAGTGCCAGAAGTGCTCAGAGAAGGAAAGATAGCTGGCTGGGTGACTCAGGGAAGGCCTTCTGGAAAGATAGTTTTGCTCTAGGTTTTGAAGGTTACATAAGTTTCACTAGTTAGAAAAGAGAGGTTGCTTCACAGGAAAAAAAAAAAAACAAACCAAACAACCAGTCTTGATGAGGAACGAGTCTTACCTGGGAAGGAGCGGTTGGAGGACAGTGGGACAGCCAGGGAAGCTTCTCCCAGAGCTTTCTCCAGCCTCCTTTTGCTGACCTTCTTGTGGGTGCAGGTGGGGAGCAGAGGATCCTGTCCCCACAAACACTGCATGTCAGTAGCAGGGTTGTGGCTGTGACTGTCACTTCCCTTGCCAATGTGTTTCTTGCAGATTTCTGGTTTTAACACATGATGTTTAATGAATATTTTTGTGATTTGACTTTGATTTTCAGATTTCAAAACCCTCTGTCATGTGCAGGTCCATGTTATTGATATCAATGACCAGATCCCCATCTTCGAAAAATCAGATGTGAGTAGTTTTCACCTGTTGTTTTATCTTTGCTGTGTTCGTATTACTTGA